CTCACCTTTCTGCCCGTTCCAAGCTCAAGAACTGAGCATCGCCGCCCTGATCTTGTTGTTTAGCTGGACATAGGGAAGTGCACGAAGAAAAAATGCCACATTTCAATCAATAGCTTGCCCAGGGCTGCTCAAAGCTCAAATCAAGCTATCTCGAAGTTTTGGGCCTTTTTGCCCGTGATTCTTCACTTTACGACTAAACGATTCGAAGCAGTGCCAAAATTTTGGCGCCACTGAATACGGGTGCCAGCGGCCTACAAGCAAACCAAAAATCAAATCAATGCGACCACTCATGTCACAGCTGGGTCATGTTATAGAGAGGTACGTTGAAAGTGACACGTGGGCACAAATGGTCAAAAAGCGACAATTTCTCACCTTTCTGCCCGTTCGAAGCTCAAGAACTGACCATCGCCACCCTGATCTTGTTGTTTAGCTGGACATAGGGAAAAGCACGAAGAAAAAATGCCACATTTCAATAAACAACTTGCCCAGGGCTGCTCAAAGCTCAAATCAAGCTATCTCGAAGTGTTGGGCCTTTTTGCCCGTGATTCTTCACTTTGCGACGAAACTATTCACAGCAGTGCCAACATTTTGACGTCACTGAATACGGGTGCCAATGGCCTACAAGCAAACCAAAAATCAAATCAATGCGACCACTCACGTCACAACTCGGTCATGTTATAGAGAGGTACGTTGAAAGTGACACGTGGGCACAAATGGTCAAAAAGAGACAATTTCTCACCTTTCTGCCCGTTCGAAGCTCAAGAACTGACCATCGCCACCCTGATCTTGTTGTTTAGCTGGACATAGGGAAGTGCACGAAGAAAAAATGCCACATTTCAATAAACAACTTGCCCAGGGCTGCTCAAAGCTCAAATCAAGCTATCTCGAAGTTTTGGGCCTTTTTGCCCGTGATTCTTCACTTTGCGACTAAACGATTCACAGCAGTGCTAAAATTTTGGCGTCACTGAATACGAGTGCCAGCGGGCTACAAGCAAACCAAAAATCAAATCAATGCGACGAATTAAATCACGGCGGGGCCATGTTATAGAGAGGTACGTTGAAAGTGACACGTGGGCACAAATGGTCAAAAAGCGACAATTTCTCACCTTTCTGCCCGTTCGAAGCTCAAGAACTGAGCATCGCCGCCCTGATCTTGTTGTTTAGCTGGACATAGGGAAGTGCACGAAGAAAAAATGCCACATTTCAATCAACAGCTTGCCCAGGGCTGCTCAAAGCTCAAATCAAGCTATCTCGAAGTTTTGGGCCTTTTTGCCCGTGATTCTTCACTTTACGACTAAACGATTCGAAGCAGTGCCAAAATTTTGGCGCCACTGAATACGGGTGCCAGCGGCCTACAAGCAAACCAAAAATCAAATCAATGCGACCACTCACGTCACAGCTGGTTCATGTTATAGAGAGGTACGTTGAAAGTGACACGTGGGCACAAATGGTCAAAAAGAGACAATTTCTCACCTTTCTGCCCGTTCGAAGCTCGAGAACTGACCATCGCCACACTAATCTTGTTTTTTAGCTGGACATAGGGAAGTGCACGAAGAAAAAATGCCACATTTCAATAAACACATTGCCCAGGGCTGCTCAAAGCTCAAATCAAGCTATCTCGAAGTTTTGGGCCTTTTTGCCCGTGATTCTTCACTTTGCGGCTAAATTATTCATAGCAGTGCCAAAATTTTGGCGTCACTGAATACGGGTGCCAGCGGCCTACAAGCAAACCAAAAATCAAATCAATGCGACCACTCACGTCACAGCTGGGTCATGTTATAGAGAGGTACGTTGAAAGTGACACGTGGGCACAAATGGTCAAAAAGCGACAATTTCTCACCTTTCTGCCCGTTCGAAGCTCAAGAACTGACCATCGCCACCCTGATCTTGTTGTTTAGCTGAACATAGGGAAAAGCACGAAGAAAAAATGCCACATTTCAATAAACAACTTGCCCAGGGCTGCTCAAAGCTCAAATCAAGCTATCTCGAAGTGTTGGGCCTTTTTGCCCGTGATTCTTCACTTTGCGACGAAACTATTCACAGCATTGCCAACATTTTGACATCACTGAATACGGGTGCCAATGGCCTACAAGCAAACCAAAAATCAAATCAATGCGACCACTCACGTCACAACTGGGTCATGTTATAGAGAGGTACGTTGAAAGTGACACGTGGGCACAAATGGTCAAAAAGAGACAATTTCTCACCTTTCTGCCCGTTCGAAGCTCAAGAACTGACCATCGCCGTCCTGATCTTGTTGTTTAGCTGGACATAGGGAAGTGCACGAAGAAAAAATGCCACATTTCAATATACAACTTGCCCAGGGCTGCTCAAAGCTCAAATCAAGCTATCTCGAAGTTTTGGGCCTTTTTGCCCGTGATTCTTCACTTTACGACTAAACGATTCACAGCAGTGCCAAAATTTTGCCGTCACTGAATACGGGTGCCAGCGGCCTACAAGCAAACCAAAAATCAAATCAATGCGACCAATTAAATCACAGCGGGGCCATGTTATAGAGAGGTACGTTGAAAGTGACACGTGGGCACAAATGGTCAAAAAGCGACAATTTCTCACCTTTCTGCCCGTTCGAAGCTCAAGAACTGAGCATCGCCGCCCTGATCTTGTTGTTTAGCTGGACATAGGGAAGTGCACGAAGAAAAAATGCCACATTTCAATCAACAGCTTGCCCAGGGCTGCTCAAAGCTCAAATCAAGCTATCTCGAAGTTCTGGGCCTTTTTGCCCGTGATTCTTCACTTTACGACTAAACGATTCAAAGCAGTGCCAAAATTTTGGCGCCACTGAATACGGGTGCCAGCGGCCTACAAGCAAACCAAAAATCAAATCAATGCGACCACTCACGTCACAACTGGGTTATGTTATAGAGAGATACGTTGAAAGTGACACGTGGGCACAAATGGTCAAAAAGAGACAATTTCTCACCTTTCTGCCCGTTCCAAGCTCAAGAACTGACCATCGCCACCCTGATCTTGTTGTTTAGCTGGACATAGGGAAGTGCACGAAGAAAAAATGCCACATTTCAATAAACAACTTGCCCAGGGCTGCTCAAAGCTCAAATCAAGCTATCTCGAAGTTTTGGGCCTTTTTGCCCGTGATTCTTCACTTTGCGACTACACGATTCACAGCAGTGCCAAAATGTTGGCGTCACTGAATACGGGTGCCAGCGGCTTACAAGCAAATCAAAAATCAAATCAATGCGACCACTCACGTCACAGCTGGGTCATGTTATAGAGAGGTACGTTGAAAGTGACACGTGGGCACAAATGGTCAAAAAGCGACAATTTCTCACCTTTCTGCCCGTTCCAAGCTCAAGAACTGACCATCGCCACCCTGATCTTGTTGTTCAGCTGGACATAGGGAAGTGCACGAAGAAAAAATGCCACATTTCAATAAACAACTTGCCCAGGGCTGCTCAAAGCTCAAATCAAGCTATCTCGAAGTGTTGGGCCTTTTTGCCCGTGATTCTTCACTTTGCGACGAAACTATTCACAGCAGTGCCAACATTTTGACGTCACTGAATACGGGTGCCAATGGCCTACAAGCAAACCAAAAATCAAATCAATGCGACCACTCACGTCACAACTCGGTCATGTTATAGAGAGGTACGTGGAAAGTGACACCTGGGCACAAATGGTCAAAAAGAGACAATTTCTCACCTTTCTGCCCGTTCGAAGCTCAAGAACTGACCATCGCCACCCTGATCTTGTTGTTTAGCTGGACATAGGGAAGTGCACGAAGAAAAAATGCCACATTTCAATAAACAACTTGCCCAGGGCTGCTCAAAGCCCAAATCAAGCTATCTCGAAGTGATGGGCCTTTTTGCCCGTGATTCTTCACTTTGCGACGAAACTATTCACAGCAGTGCCAACATTTTACCACTACGTACACCAGGGAAGGAGATTGACATGGACTAGCACGGACAAAGAATCAGTGCCGCAATTTAGCGATGTGCAGTCTGCTGGACCTACGTGCAAGGGACCAATGGAGCTCTATCTCTGGCACAACACTACGAGCTACATGAAAGGATTAGTTCATGCTGGTGTAGGTGATTGGAGAGAGTATGACGGACTGTCTTGGTAAGATGAGACGTTTCCCAGCCCAGCGAAAATAGTCACAGACTCATGCACAACATGAAGGATATGAAAATTCGTGGTGCGTGATGAAATGAGATGAGAAACATAGATCAATTATTTCTTATTTCTTGGATCTTCTAATTAGAACACACGTGCTCGTTCTTCTTGTATTGCTTCCACACCTGCTAAGCTTTGTCTCCACTTGGTGTCCCATGTTTTTTGGAGGTTGGGCAGGTCTTCAAATCCTTAGTGTCATTGATACCAGGCAGGCTGTGACATGTGCGCAATGTATACTTATTTATGGCACATATACATTTCAGATGGGCACCAAAATTTCCATGATGGAAGTTGGATAGGTAGACATCACTTTGGCATGAAAAAATATAATTCCAAAAATTATGCCTAAGGCCATGGTAAAAAATAAAGTTGATTCTCAGGTCATGAGCCTGTGAGAATCGGTGCGAGCGAGCGATTTTTTATTTTATTTCCCACAATTTTTTTATTTCCAAAGATAGGGTCACACATATGTACGTCACAGGTTCATATAATTATTTTATTATTCAGGCCAGGGAGTAGAAAAATACCAGTATTTTACTACTCCCTGATTCATGCCTTTCGCATTGACCGTTTTCATGCACGCATATGCATGCATAGAAATTAGGAAATATAAAAAATCGTCGGTGCGCCGCCAAAAATCGGTGCGCGCGTATTTGAGAATCAAAGATAATTTTTACCATAGCCTAAGCCACCTTTTTGCTTGACTCGGCTCATATGTGGGTGCCAGCGGCCTCACTGCAAACCAAAAATCAAATCAATGCGGGCACTCACATTGCGACCGGTCCAAGTTGTACAGAGGTGCATTGAAATGACAGGTGGAGGGAAATGGTCAAAAAGGGACAATTTCTCACCTTTCTGCCCATTCGCAGCTCTGAATCTAACAGAGACCAACCTGATATTGTTGGATACCTGGGCAAAGGGTATTGGACAAAGAAAAAGAGCAACAGTTCTATAAACAACTCTGGCGGGGCTGCTAAAAGTTGAAAATACGACATCTCCAAGTTTTGGGCACTTTCCCCGTGTTCCTTCACTTTGCGACAAGATAATTCACAGCGGTGCCAAATATTCTCGGTCACTATTTGCAGGAGCCAGCGGCCTCACTGCAAACCAAAATCAAACCAATGCGGGCACTCACATTGCAATAGAGAGGTTCCGGGGTACGATTTTCCGTGCCAAAATGCGTATGGGCGCTACGGATTTTTTCCAGGCGTGCTCCATACGATTTTTCGGCACGGAGAATCCGTGTGGACTGGCTTCAAAACGAACTATGTTTCGTATGGAGATTTTGCGTCATCGGGTGCAGAAAGATTTTTCCTGGGCAAAGGGTATTGGACAAAGGAAAAGAGTTACACGTCTATGTATACTTTATTATGTATGTATACTTTATTTGAGTTCGCAAATCCAAACGAGCACAAATGCTCAATGACAAGGCAGCGAATATGTTATTATGTTACAGGGAAGGAGGGTTGGGGAGAAAATAAGGAGAACAAAGAGAGAATGGTAGATATCTCAATGAAGAGCGAAGCGTTATCAAACTACAAGTAAGCCAGCGAACGATAAGTCGATAGTTCTGTAAGCCGCCTAATAAACTAAGTACTTTTTTCAGGCGTGCAGTGGACTGTCATTAAAACAGAAACAGAAAAATAATAATAAGGCACCCATTTTGTTTGTCCAGGGGATGGCCCACGCCTGGTAAAGAGAATAATTATCTTCTCTGCATACTCGTATTGGCTCAAGCTGCCCATGGAAATGAAGACAATATCCAATATTAGACAGCTCATAGACCATGTTAAATGTCATGCCACGTTGTAGGCTCGCTCGCCTCTTTTGCTAGCTTATCTCGCCGCTCTCCACCATGGTCAACATAGTGATACATTTCACCCCGCTGATGCATTATTTTCTTCCGATTATCATCTTCTTTCCTTCATTCTTTCTTCTTTTTTTTTTCTTCTCTTGCCATGGCTGGCTAACGCCCCCTCCTTTGCATTGGCTTCTGCCATTGGACGGTGAAATAATAATAATAATAATAATAATAATAATAAAATAGAGAAAATAAAATAAAATAAAAATAAAATAAAAACAAACAAACAAACAAAGTACTAACAGTTACTGCTAACGAGAGTACCGGTACTTGCTACTAACATCGGGAGGATGAAAGGCCCAACCCTGCCCTGCCAGTTACGGACTTACGGGGGTCGCCATGGCAAATAATAATGGTAAGCAGTGAAAATCAATCACAGACAGGAAGCTGTCTCAGGGCAAGTTTCTAATCATAACATCAGGAAGATCGGAGGGTATACGGTACGACGGCAGCTTTGAAGCTGCTGAGAGACGACAGTACTCTGACTGCATCCGGTAGGACGTTCCAAAGGGAACTACCTCGGGAGGCAGGGCGAGATCGTCCGGCGCGGGTTCGTGTAGCTGGTAGACGGAGCCCCAGGGCGAGATCCAGGCGCGTCCTACGATCCGCGCAGCGTACGAAGAGCTCCTGGAGGGATGGACTCGCACTGGCGTGTATGCACCTCCAGACAAAGACCAGGACCTTCTGCCGATGTATTTCTCCAATCCTGAACACCTGCATGCGTTCCAGGAGATCACTGGCACGAGAGAACCCCGGCCGGCCATAAACTGCTCTTGCCCCACGGTTTTGTGCTACATGGAGCCGGTCGGTCTGGACCTGAGTGAGACCTGGGCTAAACGCAACGGACCCATACAGTAGATCCGGCATGATAGCTGCCTTGAAGAACAGCACACGGCTAGCAAGTGTTAGCGACTTTCGTGTCCGCCACAGAGTTCCAATTTTCTTATTGGCTTTCGTGATGCTCGCATCGACCTGGGGCTGCCATGACATGCGTACATCCAAGGTGATGCCAAGGTAGCGGGCACTGGTGACGCTTGGCACGGGTATGCCATCGCACTTTACCACAACGTTGGGACTCTGGCCATTGGATCCTGCAAAGACAAGGAGCTGACTCTTGGTGGCGTTGAGGATGAGACCACGGGAGGCTAGCCAGCGAGCTAGGTTAGAGACGGCTGTTGTGAGCTCAGAAGAAACGAGGTCAGCGCTGCGGCGGGTGGAAGTCAAGGCTATATCGTCTGCAAACTGGATTGACATAGTCGGGCAGGTAACAGTCGGTACGTCTCTAGTGTATATGTTGAAGAGCAGCGGCCCCAGGACCGAACCCTGCGGAACACCGCAGGTGCATGTAACAACCCTGCCGAGTCCGGTACCAGTGCGCACTTGCTGTTGGAGACTTGACAGGTAATGTTTGAACCAAGTCAGTGCTCCTCCAGTAACGCCAATGTCAAAAAGGTCCTGGATAAGAATGCTGTGCTTGACTTTGTCGAAGGCTTTCGACATATCTAGAAGGCAGGTTGCCACAACTAGACCGTCATCTCGCCCAGTGTCGACTCTGTCAGTTAGTAGGGAAAGAGCGTCTTCCGTAGAGTGCCCATGACGGAACGCAAATTGGGTCACTGGCAAGATGTTCATCCGTGCGACATGTTCCACCAACGATTTCAGCACGACCTTCTCAAGGATTTTGGACAGTATCGGTAGCAGTGATACCGGTCGGAAATTTTTGGGAACAGAGGGATCACCAGACTTGTGGAGCGGAACAACGTGAGCTAATTTGAACTGCTGTGGAACTTCGCCGCTGGTTAATGATGCATTAAACAATGTGGTAAGAGATGAAGCTAATATATCAGCACAATACTTGATTAGGAGACCCGGGATTCCATCACTTCCAGTAGCTTTGGCCGGGTTGACTTGCTGCAGCAAGCGCTCCAAAGCACCCACTGTGACGGGTGAAAAGGACACTAGGGAATGCTCTGCAGGGGGTCCCGCAGGCAGGAGTAGTTTGGATGGCCGAGTGATGTCGGTGACGACAGTCTCGAAAGCAGACGTAATCGCCTCTACACCACACGATGGCTCCTGATGTGTCCGCTTTCGACCGGTAACGGAGTTTATGACCGACCATAGCTGACGGGGGTTTCCCGTGTTCTCCGCGCACTTGTTTCGAAAGAACTCGTTCCGTTTACGCCTGTAGGCATTTGATGCAGCGGACCGGGCCTGTTTGAACGCTGAGTGGGCCTGCTGGCAAGTTTTGTCCGATAGCCAACGCTTGTGCAGCCTGTTCTTCCGCATAGTAAGCTGATACAGCTCTCTGTCCGACCACGGTGGTTCGCTTGGGCGTTTCCGGCTTTGCTTGCAAGTGAATGGAGCATGGCGATCCAGAACAGTTATAAACTTTGAATGCCAGTCTTGCCACATTTCATCCACGTTAGCCTGAGCAGGAAAAGCATAAAAGTTTGCAGCAGTAAGGTCATTTCGGAAGTCGTTTATATTGATGTTGCGGAGATTTCGGGTGGATGTAGCCGGCTTACTGGTCGACTGCTTGGGCACGGAAATGTCCAGCTTGGCAAGAACTGCAAAGTGGTCACTGATCGTGCACTGAATGACATGGCACATCGCTACTGTTTCGGGACGGGCTAGGATTAGGTCGATTACGGTACCTTGGGGGCAGTCGGGCGTCACGCGCGTGGCACTATCCACATGGTTTGCCAGACCATATGCACCTGCCAAGTCAAATAGATGGCGAGTTTGATAGTGTGTCCTGCTGGTATCAATACCAGGTGGTCTGGCATTCGTGTTGAAATCGCCGAGGAGAGTTATCGATGGGGTTATCCGTGAGGCTCCGTCAAGCGCTCTCTCTAGTCGGGTCCAAAAGCTGATAGGCTCAGTTGGTGGGCGGTAGACACAAGCAAATACATGGTGGGCTGTCCCAGAATTCGTTGTCTGTAACCAAAGAGCTTCCAGGCCATCCTGCGCAAGGTCCAGCCGAGGTTGGAGAGCAAGAGATGAGTGATAGTAGAATGCCACACCGCCTCCTGGGCGCCCACGGTCAAGTCTCACGAGGGAGTAGCCTGGGATGACTAGTTCTCCATTACTGATAGTCTCATCCAGCCATGTCTCTGCAAGGCCAATAACGTCGATCTGGGAGCTATCTAGGAGTGCCTTAATTTCATGTGTCTTGTGTCGCAGACTGCAAACATTTAGGAATGCAATTGTCAAGGGAGTTGACCTATTTTGTGGGGTACTGTGCCTGGTGAAAATGGTGATGCATAGGAGAAAACTTGCGTAACACAATACAAAGCAATCAAAACGAAGATAAAGAACAATCGTGCGAGAAAAGAATCAATCTATGGGCTACGGCGCCAGATCCTCGGCTGTGAGCGGATTCTGATGGGCTTCTTGGCTTTCCTTTGCTTCCTGGTACGAACATCTGTGAAAGCTTCAGAATCAGAGCCACCGTTCTCGTCTTCCATTTCGGAGCCGACATCTTCCCAGCTTCTATTTTCCGGGAGCTCATCCGCCGACGACTTCACCTTGTCGCAGCTGTTTTCATCTTCAACAGTGTGTGTATGTACGTGCTTGCGGGGGGTCTGGTTCTTGCGCGTCCCAGCTGATCTTGTGCTAGGCTTCCCATTGACCTTGTCAGGTACGGTGGACTCTCCCGCACTGGCGCCAACATCAACTGCTGCAGTTTCTGTGTGAGGGCTTTCATTTATCTGTTCTTGGCTTGGCGCCTCTTGGTGACCCGTACTAGTACTCAATTGCCCTTGCAAGGAGTCTGCGTAGGACATGTTGGTCTGCGAGTTGTGTACGCCATTTCTCGCACCTACAGCTGCTGTACCTGGGCAGTCTTTTGCCAGATGGCCAGAGACACTGCAGCGCCAACAAGTTTGAATTTGACCTTTGTGCCATATTCTTACGGTACGGGAACCTACTCGCAAGCCAGAAGGCACAGCCTTCCTCAGGGAAACTTTGACATACCTGGTCCCGGTGTCAACTGCAAAGCCCTCATGGCTAACAATCTTCCTCTTTGGAGGACCATGGACCCAACCATAGAGTGAAATTTCATGCACAAGAGCACCATCTTGCAATGACAGGGGGCATCCGAATACATGGAGAGTCGTAACTGACATGCCTCCCATTACAACTTCGACATTCTTACTGGCAAATACGAATTCTTCCTCTGACGTCAACAGGCGGTCGCGCACTCCTTGCGTGACGAAGGTGACATTGCACCATCCAGGCTTCCCGTTTAGGTCCAGTTGGCTGAGTTCGGAGGGCTGAACACCCAGTCTAGACAGCTCCTTGATAAAAAATACATGGTCCAAAGGCCAGTCCTTGTGGACCCTAAACATAAATGAGGCAGGAGCAGGAGCTCCAGAAGTGCTCCCGTCCTCCATCGTGAATTTTGAATCTATGTATTCACGCTGTACATAGAGGATTGATATGAACACCTCTGGCTGCTAAAACCTGAAAATACGACATCTCCAAAAATCAAATCAATGCGGGCACTCACATTGCAACCGGGCCAAGTTGTACAGCGGTACATTGAAATTACAGGTGGAGGGAAATGGTCAAAAAGTGACAATTTCTCACCGTTCTGCCCATTCGCAGCTCTTAATCTGACAGAGACCATCCTGATCTTGTTGGATACCTCGGCAAAGGGTATTGGACAAAGAAAAGGAGCAACAATTCTATGAAAAACTCTGGCGGGGCTGCTGAAAGCTGAAAATACGACATCTAGTTTTCGGCACTTTCCCCGTGTTCCTTCACTTTGCGACTAAAATATTCACAGCGGAGCCAAATTTTCTTCGTCACTATTTGCGGGAGCCAGCGGCCTCTCTGCAAACCAAAATCAAACCAACGCGGGCACTCACATTGCAGCTGGGCCAAGTTGTACAGAGGTGCGTTGAAATGACAGGTGGAGGGAATTGGTCAAAAAGTGACAATTTCTCACCTTTCTGCCTATTCGCAGCTCTTAATCTGACAGAGACCATCCTGATCTTGTTGGATACCTGGGCAAAGGGTATTGGACAAAGAAAAAGTGCAACAGTTCTATAAACAACTCTGGCGGGGCTGCTGAAAGCTGAAAATACGACATCTCCAAGTTTTGGCCACCTTCCCCGTGTTCCTTTACTTTGCGACTACAAAATTCACAGCGGTGCCAAATTTTCTCGGTCACTATTCGCGGGAGACAGCGGCCTCACTGCAAACCAAAAATCAAATAAAAAATGCGGGCACTCACATTGCAGCCGGGCCAAGTTGTACAGAGGTGCATTGAAATGACAGGTGGAGGGAAATGGTCAAAGAGTGACAATTTCTCACCTTTCTGCCGATTCGCAGCTCTGAATCTGACAGAGACCAACCTCATCTTGTTGGATACCTGGGCAAAGGGTATTGGACAAAGAAAAAGAGCAACACTTCTGTGAACAACTCTGGTGAGGCTGCTGAAAGCTGAAAATACGACATCTCCTAGTTTTCAGCACTTTCCCCGTGTTCCTTCACTTTGCGACTAAAAAATTCACAGCGGTGCCAAATTTTTTCGGGCATTATGTGCAGGAGCCAGCGGCCTCACTGCTAGCCAAAAATCAAACCAATGCGGGCACTCACATTGCAGCTGGGCCAAGTTGTTCAGATGTGTGTTGTTGTCTGATGATTGCCTATGGGCATGAAACTTTTAGTTACAACGAATGTGTGGTGCTCTGTGCCGTGTGCAATGACCCATACAAAGCTGTGCTACTACCTGATGTGTCCTGCAGGCGCAGTGGGTTGGTCAAAGACCATTGTTGAAATGGAAAGGGTTTCTGGTTCAAGTCCTGCCTGGAACTATTTTTTCCAGCCGTGCTGCTAGGGGGACTTGTGGCCAGGTACAAGGGGTACATGGATGTGGCTAATGGGGTTTCTCGGCACTTGTGTCAGTGGTTGTGAGACTCATCCCCTTAGCCGTTGCATCTGCCGCTAGGGTTTACCGGGTGTTAGCGGCTGTCGTGAGTTCCGTTCGAGAACAGACACGAACATTTACTTTATTTTACTTTTTACCTGGTGTGTCCTCATCATGCATATAAAACGTGGTGCTCACACTCTGAAGGGCGGCGCATTCATTTTGAAAGGAGGCGGTCAAAAAGTGAAGGAGGTCGCAGCACCCCGCTATGTCCTTTTGGCAAGAACCCTGACAGTGCTAGCTTTGGACTTGGAAAGCTTGAAATACTAGACGCCCAATGTGCCGCCGTCACAGCACAAGAAATTGACACTTTTTGACGAACACCCCAGTGAATATGATGCATACATCAAGCACGTAGACAAGACTCCACTCCTCACTGCATGGAGCCAGAGAACATGTGCATGCATAAACCTGGTTGACACGAAATCTTCTAGCCTGGACTCAAGTTACTCATATAACGCAACTCCCTTGGGGTAGAAGTCTACCAAGGACACTGGGCATTTTATTGTACTTCAAAGTAATTATTGCCTTATACTTTTATGCAAAATTCTTTACTTGCAAAAACTCATAATAATTATGGTATCTCACCAGACAATCTGGAAGACAAATGGAGCTTGAAGCAGTTCCACCTCCTGTGCAAGACTGGTTTGTTATTAGCAGTGTAGAGTACTGGCTGTATTGCATCATCGACTTGTTATTAGCAGTGTAGAGTACTGGCTGTATTGCATCATCGACTTCAATCTAAGAAACACATGTACACGAAAAGAAGAAACAAGTCCCCATTTGGCTTCAGTAAGGTACAGCATACATTTATATGTCAAGCAACTGCAAGAAACAATAGTTGCTGTTCCAGCAACATTTCTCTTTTTCGTGCAAGTGCCTGACAAGAAAGCAGTGCATCATCGGAACATGTCTTGACTCTTGGTGGATTGCTTGACTATTGCCAAGAGCTAGCTTGACCTTGATTCTTCAGGCTTCTTAATATTACTACTACATGTATATCTGTTGCTATTGTTCATATATCCGTGGTGAGGAGCTTTTGTACAAGGGCAAGGGAGAGGGCCACAACACAATTGATTATTTCGGGAAACCACGCAACTACTGATCGTTACGTATAGATTATAGACCGGTTAGGAGGTCCATATTTATCCTGTATATACCAACTATGAGGTCTATAATCTATTTATCGTATTCTCCATGCAATGGTGTCTTTTTATATACGACATAATTATTGTAGTTGTATTATAGCCTATGCCGCATTGCACGACATTGCAGGGCCAAGGTCATTGTTTAAAGGGGAAGTGCATCGATTTTTCAAGTAGGGCTCAGATGAAAGACAATTGGATATCGGTTCCGATGGTATATCTCTCGCTTGCGTACGGCAAGGGAAACTTGCCATATCGCCGATTTCCTGATCCCGTTTCCATGGCGACTACAGGTGATGACGCCCATTCTGCTTAGCTCCGGGAGAGAGAAGGTCGATCACTGCAGAATTGTGTCATTTTTAGTTGTCTTCTTGTATTCACGAAGTGAAAGAAGTACTGTTTTCAATGCTGTTGGTGCCGTGAACTGTTTATTAGTAGTCCTCTCCGTTGTGTACTGGGACGTGACACCGACAGGGGAAGCTGGAGTGCGGAGACGTTAGCTGGCAAGCGAAAATCGTGACGAACCAAGTGCTGAAATCTTGGTTGGGACAAATCAAACGTTCAGCATTTACCTCAACCAAGGACCATGCCGTTTGCTCTTTCCACTTCCTGAAGATGGATGCGCTGCCTGCTGGAGACTCTCCTATCTCTCGTAACATCTTCTGAAGCCAGGTGAGACGACGAGTAGCGGAGATTAGCGAACGAAGTAATGTCGTATGTTTTGAAATTTTGCTGCTCAGGAGAGATGGCATGATATGAACTTAGTCCATGTGAACTCAATCAGCCCATGAACTAACCCATGAACAAATGCTTTCCTTGCAGACGTGCATGTGTCTATCCAATCTACACGTAGAAATCATTCCATGCCCTCAGTGAATGGCCTATTTATAATTATATTATTTGTCCATACACTTCATCTGCAGGTTGTCTCTATGGAGAAGGGTATTGTTCATTTCATATGAAGAAGTTCGGGCAATAGATGCTTTCCTCTGGTACAATTCTGTTGACCTGATGTTCTTTCTAGCTTCAGGGGTAGCTTAGGTGAGGTACCATCACCATCATGTTTACATGAGGGTCAACCACTGCACCGTTCTTTGTTGTGACATGACGTTAGTTATTGTAACTGCTCGCAGACTCCATAACTTCCAGCAACACCTAGCATGGTTTTCCGTCACCGTTGTGGGTGAACAAATTCCTGTCCAACATATTTATACAGACATGCCAGCACACACCATGCGCCATACACACACTTTCCCTGCCCTGTCGAGTCACAGCCACGTGGGCCCGGAGGGGCAGCGGAGAGAGAATGGGAGAACGCCGCCCCATGGCGCCCGGGACACAAAAACAAGAGTTTGTCCGGCTACGTAGGGAGCAACACACATACATATACAGTACATACACCACACACACACACACACACAAAATGAGAGTTCGGGTCATCTGCCACGAGACTGACGTACGGCCGGGGAGAGCTTCAGCAGCGGTGTCTATTCCTGCCCTGGACCGAACGGAAGCAGCGGTCGCGGAACACACAGTATTCACCACAACACGGCTCCACTGTCGTTGGGGGCTGAGCCACACACTTGTGACGGGCAAGAACGCCACAGCTAAGAAAGCAACGGCCATAGCGATCACACTGGCATGCTCCACGCTGCTCCTGCACACACTCTCTCCCTCTCTCTCTCTCTCTCTCTCTCTCTCTCTCTCTCTCTCTCTCTCTCTCTCACACACACACACACACACACACACACACACACTCACACACACACACACACACACACACACACACACACACACGTGCGCACATACTGCAAGAAAGAAAGAGAGCATGAGTGTCAGATTCTTAAATAGGAAGTGTTTATCAGCACACACTTATACATGCACATGCAGGCACTCAACGATCAACTATGCACCATGCCATATGTTCGTCAAACATAAGATTGCAATACCAAAGAACAACATAAACAAGATCACTTACTTCGTTCTTCTCCAAGTGTGTCCTCCCCAGCCATTTCCCTAGGCGGAATGTAGCCTACGAAATGGTTTCTCTAGACTAGGAGAAGATGCTTGGTATTCGCCATCTCTCCTGAGAAATGTTCAGCAAAAATGTCAAAACATACGACATTATTTCGTTTGCTAATCTCCGCTACTCGTCGTCTCACCTGGCTTCAGAAGATGTTACGAGAGATAGGAGAGTCTCCAGCAGGCAGCGCATCCATCTTCAGGAAGTGGAAAGAGCAAACGGCATGGTCCTTGGTTGAGGTAAATGCTGAACGTTTGATTTGTCCCAACCAAGATTTCAGCACTTGGTTCGTCACGATTTTCGCTTGCCAGCTAACGTCTCCGCACTCCAGCTTTCCCCTGTCGGTGTCACGTCCCAGTACACAACGGAGAGGACTACTAATAAACAGTTCACGGCACTAACAGCATTGAAAACAGTACTTCTTTCACTTCGTGAATACAAGAAGACAACTAAAAATGACACAATTCTGCAGTGATCGACCTTCTCTCTCACGGAGCTAAGCAGAATGTGCGTCATCACCTGTAGTCGCCATGGAAACGGGATCAGGAAATCGGCGATATGGCACGTTTCACTTGCCGTACGCAAGCGAGAGATATACCATCAGAACCGATATCCAATTGTCTTTCATCTGAGCCCTACTTGAAAAATCGATGCACTTCCCCTTTAATTAAACTAGGTTCAGCATCGGTAGCACAGTAGCTGGGTGATAAGGAAGCGTGACTGAGGTTCACATGGTTGTGGGTTCGAATCCCCTCTTGTATATTAAAATATTTTCTCCTTTGTTCAAAAATTTCGTTTTATAAGTTGGAGAGAAAATAGTTTCTAAGTCCAAGAGGTTCTAAGGAGTCAAATTTAAGTAGTCAAATATATTGTGTATTTGACTAACGCAACTGCATTGTAAATAAACGGGGGTTTGTCAACTGACAACCGCTCTATTTAGTAACTGTTGCTATTCACTCTTTAGATGAAAATCAGGTTCTAACGATGGGTGACTGGCCCGAAACGTCAAATATTTTTTCCAATTTTCATCTAAACAGTGAATGGCAACGAAATACAGCGGTTGTCAGTTGACAAACCTCCTTTTATTCACATAGCTATGCAAAAGACGTTACTTCAGTAACGTCTGGCGCTAGCCAGGGTCCACACAACTTTAATTCCGTGTTTGTTTGTTTGTGCCATCGGCATGCCTGGCGCTATCCTGTACCTGTCCCGTACCGTACCATCAAAGACAGCTGGTCACAATATTCAAATAGGGCTTATACGGTGTTGTACGGTATAAGGATGTCGTATAGCATGTCGTACAACAGTACGATGAAATTGTGGGAGAAACCAGCGACCGCTTGGGAACGATGAACGTTACAAGTCTTATTGTGAGTGAGAGTCAGGCCAAGTTTCTGAAGATCAGTAGCGAGTGCTATCCCGAGCATTATGTTAGCATTACAAAAGCAGAGACAGGATGCGTATGATAGGAGACCGAAGTTGCTGAAGATCAGTAGTCATTGCTGATAACGTGCAGAAAAACTAAATCCGCAGCTGCTTTTGCCGTCGGACAGGATGCGAATTATAGGAGACTGTAAAGTCATGTAATGTGCTCCACAGGCAACCATGCATTCGGTCAATAGAAAAGACATTCCATCAGTTCGAGTAATCCCCAATAAATTCTGCAATTACTTTTGCCCAACTCATATTCAAACTGATTGAAACCTTTTCGCAATACAATGATGTAGCCAATCAATGGAAAAAAAACCATTTCCATCAGTTCTAATAACATGCATGATGAGCTAGGCAAAAAAGCATAGTGTAGGGCCCTGAGCTTCCAAGCTCTCTCGTTTGTATTTGACTAAGCAGTCAAATGTGCGATATATTTGACCGCTTAGGTATCAGGGAAATCAGTGGGGTAAAATACTAAGAAGGCGATAATGGTGAAAAAGGAGAAGGACAAAATGTTACGAGTTATGACTAACTGTCCACCAACGTAACCAGATCTTATAAGCAGCGAGAGCAGGCGATAATGTGTGATATTAGCGGCATGCAGAGTGCTGCACTTGCACAGCTAATTATCAGCCTCACCTTCATCCCAAGTCCGAGTCGATAAAAGGTAGACGGGCAAGATATCCCTCCTCTTGAACGGGTGTGGCAGAGGAACGTAGAAATTGTGAACTTCTGCATCCCTTCGTAACTACGTTTCTTACGTGCTATGCGCGCTGCTCGCCACAAACTGGCCTGTTCTGGCGATAATCATCGTTCTTAGGCTAAGAGGCAAATACTAGATTGTGCGAAGTCTAGCTTGCGTTACGGAGACAACACTTGCAGTGTAGATGCTCAGGATGACATAGCCTAGCTAGACACAGGAAATACGACGACAATGGTTGCAGGAATCACTTCAAAGTAACTTCTAGCAGATCTACTACTCCTATCGATTTCTGCATCAGATACCTGGATACGGCAGTCCTGCATTATTTGTGC